GTCGAGTTTGTGGCCCACAACAAACGACGCTGTCGAACGGATCCATCCTTTGGCGTGACAGATCTCAAGAATTTAGAGCCCCAAGTTGCACTCATGCAAACCGTTCCAATCAAGCGACTGGATCCCGATGACGAACTTCTGAAAGGACTGGAACCAAAGGACAGACAACATCGATACAGGCTGGCATCTCTGGAGGACGCCGATCCGGACACTCTGGAAACTCGTTTCATTTGCCATTTCCACCATGTTAGTAGTTCTGGAGAGAGACTGTTTTTAGGTGAGACATTTAGTGCATTTCCTTACAACTACGAGGACGTCAACTATCGCAAGGGCCCCAGACTGAAGCCAATGCTGACTAGACCTGAAAACCAGGAGGACTTCAATGGAGCCCACAACGACCAAGTTTGGAACAGTGTGTTGCAATTTCGATGCCCTATTCCAGAGAAGATCCAATCTATGGTGCGAGATGGTGAAGTACAGTCATTGGTCATGGATTTGGTACCAATTCGAACACCTCCCAGGGAAACAAGGGAAGGCTATTCTCCTTATCGTAAGGACCCAGCATTCGACCCATCTAGTCAATGGGGACAAAGTCATTTGCTTCCCAAAGTGCAAGACAGTGGCCGATGGGCCAACATTCCTATAGGATGCCGTTCTCCAGTCGATCGTAGCAATGCTGGGTCGTTGACCCAAGAGAAAGCTGTCACGTTGAAAGAAAAGAAGGATTACCTCGTGGGCTGCCTTTGGGCTTCTGCTGCCTTTACCACAAGAGGTCCCAATGCGGCCTTGGATACATCCACGGCGATGCGACTTCTTGAATGGCTTGCCTTCCATCTATATATTGCAAAACTGGATCACGTTTACATTTACGACAATACAGAAGCTCATACTGACAAAGTATCCTTACAGCCAATCATTGATTTGTTCCCTCCGGATCGGATAACCCGGATTCCATGGAAGCATCGAGTTTGCAACAACAACTTTAAGGGCGGAGAACGGTCATCACAGTACACAGCAGAAGCAAGCTGTAGACTTCGATATGGTCCTTCAACAGAGTGGATGATATTCTTTGATACGGACGAATACTTGATTCCACAAGGAAATTGGACGGATCTGCAGGACTGGCTCAGAACTAGTACAAAGACTGGGGCAATATCAAAGGAAACCAAAATATTGAGTTTCTTTCAAACTCGTCCATTTCCACGACTTGACTTCATGGAGCCATACTACAACCGTGATGGAGGTTGTGGGGAGTCAGTGGACTCTGCAAACTGCCTTGCCAAACGCGAGAGTGCTACATTCCTAGAAACTTATGATTGTGAAACCACTCCATTGCCCAAACCTCAATTCGGATGGCGGGCCCAAAAGCAAATCTACCAGCCAGAGTATGTATTGAATCACTTTGTTCATTATACCATGGTCACCCAGAGAGTCAACGAGCATCCGGATGAGAGAGTCCCAGCATTTCTGCAGCGGGCTCCTTATGAACGACGGGTCAATGAATTGACAGAAGCATTTATGCTCCACGCCAAGACCAAGCCGCCAGGACAAACACGAGGTTGGAAACGGCTATGTAACGCTTTGGGAAAACAAACTTGCCCAGTAGGGATCCCTTGGCCTCTCAATGTTACCCCCAATCAAGGACCAGTTCTGAACGAGGATGGTTACTCCTTCAACTGCTTTCAGCATTCCAAGATCCAGAACGAGGTAGCACCCAGGCTACGGGAAATTTTGAAGCCACTACAAGCTCAGTACAAAGAGAACTTATAGCGAATAGTCGATTGGATCAATTAATTTTTGTCTCTAGAGTCGTTTAGCATAGCAACCTCCATTGATGATTCACCCAAATAGACCCCAGTTTCGAACTTGCAAGGATGATATTGCTTTGTGAAATGGCTCACTTCCAGACGAGTTCTTGTTGGACAGATCGCTGATCGGCTTGGATATCGTCACTAGTAAATCCGTGCCTACGTTTGCTAACCGAAAGACGCACATTTCTACTTGGACCAATCGCACTTCCTGCTGCCGAGGGTTTCCAGCCATATCGTGATCTTTCCCCATGGCTACTTTCTGAATGCCAACGCCGGCACAGAGACTGCAATTCATTAGGTTTGTCCCAGCAGGAATATCTTTGGGCTCAAATTTATTTTCCGTACTACCATTGCTTTCTGCCAGGTCCTTGAAAAAGAATGCGGCCGCACCGGCATCGGAAACCTTTTGTCGTTCGAGAATTTCTACCACCAAGACAGCTCCGTCGATTTCTTGATAGCATTCTTGGTGATCTGGTACTTGTCGGATGTCTGAGACATCTTTCCAGTCAGTCTTGATATCGCAGGTGATGGCTCCGCCGTATAGAGGTCGATTGGTGTACATCTTGAATGGGAGTCTGGTTCAAGTTGTTTTCAGTATTATTATCTTCGATTCAAATCGATTCGACTCGTTCGATTTGCAAACGGGTCTAAACACACGAACGATGAGAATGGTCACCATCTTTGTATTGCACCCTGTATATATTGAATGCCCACAACGACAGTGAGAGATAAACGATAGGACCACATAGTGTTATACACATCTGTTGGTAGACGGAGTAAACGCCAGAAACCGACAGGATGCGTCACTTGTATAATATATATTACACGGTCAAAGGAATGTCAAGCTGCTGATAAGACCGCACCGTCGACGGCTTTAGTCACTCGCGGAAAAGTATATAAAAATATATACTGTCTGTATGTCTATACGATTGTAGTGGTCTATGCTCCAACCGACACATGCGTGAGACGGAGGATATGGCGCGAATGTCACAAAGTTGTT